AATAGTCAACTCCACTTCTGAGCCCTATTTGCCACCAAAAGAACACAGGGATTTTGTTTATTGTTCTCTCTCTATTTTGGGAGACTGATGGTTGGTAACTGGGAAAATATGTGATTCAACTGATAAGAAATTATTTGTGGTTTGTAATTCTGCTCCTTTTTCCCTCTGTGTTGTCTGTCCTTTGGCCTCTCTCACTTTCTATGCCTCCAATTTATGCCAATTTAAAATAAATCCTGCTCTGCCTGTTTCTACCTCTGTGACATTAAGTGATCTATTTACTCTTGCCATGTTCCAGATTCTTCAATAATGAAATCATAACAATAATACCTACCTCCTATGGTTGTTGTGGAGCTTAAATAGATTAATACGTGTAGAACACTTAACATAGTTTCTGGCATATAGAGAGCAAGAGGTCAATAAATGTCAGTGATGGTGGTTGTTATTTTTCTTATTCTTGATATCTTAATTAGGCCCCCTTGTCATTTTGAATCTCAATTTCCTTGCCTACAAAATTGGGCCCATAATTTTTTTCTACTTGAATGAGTTATATGGACCTGAACAAGGATCACAGAAGGAGAAATCATTAGTAAAATGTTGGCTAATTAACACCAGGGAGCTTCTTGACAAGGCTGTCTTCCATTTTTCAGGATCATTAGAAGTTGGCCGTGCTTGGACTTGTGTCAGACGCTCATTAGCAGATGTCACTGTCTTTCAGCTCAAAGGTTTGACAAAACCTCCATGCCGAGTTGGGAGAATTCATTTTCTTCCAGGAACAAATTCAGTTATTTTTGTGTGTTATTTGTTCATCAATCAGAGGAGTTCTGATGACAACAGTATTGCCCTTGACATTCTAAAAGACAGGACTCCATGCCCTCGGCAAGAGTGTGCTCATGTGTCACCAACCTGTGTGCTCATGCAGGGCAAGAAAACGCCACATGCAGGGACATCAGGAGTTGATGATAGTCTAGAAAATGTCCCAAGGGAATATTTTGGGATTTTAGTTGCAGGTGGAAAAATATATAGCCCGAGAGACATGGAAGTGAAAGGAAATACTGCCAAAGAACAGGGATACATTGACTCCCTGCAGACTGCTCTTTGGAATAGTTAACTCTTCAACTCCTGCTCCCACAGTTGCCCACTGGAGGCATGTGTCAATGTTGCCATGGTAACAAGCCAGTTCAAGCTCTCAGTTGTGGACTTAAAGACAGCAGCTGACATTGCAGATGCCTTCTTGCTTCGAACCCCAAATCACACGTTTATATTGACTAACAAGTGGTCAGATCCATTGCAAGTAACAATTTTTGACTTCTTTAAAAACTTTCAAATTTACCTAGAGAAGACCTGGGAACCACTAGGGTTAGATATGATCCAAATGAATACTGCCCAGCCCTCTTTCACCTTGCTTTTTAATTATGTTTTTTTCCCCCAGCACTGTTCGCTACTGCTCTGTGCTCAATTACACTTATTTCCTATATTGTACTTTTGTTATGGCTCAGCATCTGTATCCCTCACTAGAATGGAAATTCTAAAATGCCAAGCACACTGTCTGCTTTCTTGTCACATTTTCTTGGGTCATCTTAAACAGTGCTTGTCATGCTTGTGCCACATAAGTGTTCAGAGAATGAAAAGGCTAAATACGAATGCCTATCAGAACACCAGGCATCCTACTGAATTCCTTTTCTTGGCTTTTTTTTTCTATACATTGGTTACTGGATTGTCAAGAAATGCTTAGCCAGACAGTAACACATCATTAAGGGCATAAGAACCTACAGCTTCCTATTTCTTCAGAGGTATCTCTGGCAGCTTTGTTATAATTGGTGCGTTTTTGAGTGGATTTTTTTTTTATGGTAAAAAGAAATGATATGAAATTTACTATCTTAACTATTGTTATTGATAGTTTCAACTATCTCTGCTCCCTAGTTGTATTAAGTAATAGTTGACAACAGCAAAAGGTGTAGAGCATAATGATTCAACTTACATATATTGTGAAATAATTATCACATAAATTTAGTTATCATCCATTATTTAAGATACACAAAAAATGGGGAGGGAGTGTTTTTCCTTGTAATGCAAGCTCTTGGGATCTACTTTCTCAGCAACCTTCCTGGATACCCTACAGTGGTGTTAGCTATAGTCATCATGCTGGACATTCCATCTCTACTACTTATTTATCTTATAACTGGAGTTTTGTACCTTTTGGTCCTCTTCCTCCAATTGTCCCCTCCTTTCAGCCTCTACCTCTGGTAACCACAAATCTGATTTTTTTCTATTAGCTTATTGTTTTAAATATTTATTTATTTTAGAGAGAGAGAATAGGGAGAGGGGCAGAGAGGGAGAACCAGATTCCCCTCTCAGCAGAGAGCCCAACATGGAACTCGATCCCAGGACCCTGGGATCATGACTTGAGCTGAAGGTAGACTCTTCACTGACTGAGGCACCCAGGCACCTTGGAAATTATTTCATAAGTCATATTATCTGCATACTTTTATCTGTTACATTAAAAAGGTAAACAAAACAAAATGCTTCAGAGAAAAACTTACTCATGTGCTGGAGGACACATATAGCTAGGGCTGGAAATGATTGCTTTTTTCTATATATCCTTGCACTTAAATTTTAAAAGAAGATCTTGATATTGAATGAATGAAGAAAGAGATACCAATCTAATTGAGTAAGGCATTATTAGCCATTTCTAAAGGCTTTTGTAAAAGGTCGACATATGGCCGACTACCTTTATCACTAAAAATGATGCTAGACTTGAAATAATTGGCTTAATGCTTGAAAGAGTAGGCCAGAGAATCTTCAATCATGCCACATGTGTCCGTGAAGGAGAATCCAGGACACTTAAAACTAGAGGGTGTCCTGGTTTTACCTACCTTCATTCTATTTCAACAAATGGCGATCCATTCTGCTTTCCTCCATAAGAAGCAAAACTCTCCTACCTTATCTGTGCTGCATGCTGTTGTTTGTGATGTGGCAAAAGAGGGATGTGGTTTATGTTTATGAAGATTTGGGCCAGAAAAATATAAAAACAAAACAAAACAAGAAATAACCCGTACTGGCAAGGATGTGGAGAAAATGAAACCCTCGTGCACTGTTGGTGGGAATGTAAATTGGTGCAGTCCCTACAGAAAACAGTATGGAGAATCCTCAAAAATTTACCAATAGAAATACCACATGATCCAGTAATTTCTCTATTGGGCATTTACACAAAGAAAATGAAATCACTACTTTGAAAAGATATCTGCACCTCTGTGTTTATTACAGTAACATTATTTATAATAGCCAGGATATGGAAGTAATCTAAGTGTCCGTTGATAAATGAATGGGTAAAGGGACTGTGGTATATATATATATATATATATATATATATATATATATATATTAATGCAAACTCTTGCATATATATATGTATGGAATATTACTCAGCCATTAAAAAGAATGGGATCTCACCACAATGGGAGCAAGGATGAACTAAGAAGGAACGACGCTAAGTGAAAGAAGACAGACTAGAAAGACAAATATCATACTAAAAAGAAAACAAAAAAAAAAAAACAAAGCAAAACAGAAACAGACACATAAACACAGAAAACAAACAAGTGGTTGCCAGAGGGAGGAATGGGTGAAAAGGGGAAGGGAATCAAGAGGTACAAACTTCTGGTTATAAACTAAGTCATGGGGATGAGACCTGCAGCATAGGGAATGGTCAATAATATTGTGGTAACATTGTGCAGTGACAGATGTTGGCTACACTCCTCGTGGGGAGCATTGGGTAATGTATAGAGTTGTTGAATCACCATGTGGGGCAACTGAGCCTGAAGTATAGTTGACATACCTGACCTTGTATGTCAACTATACTTCAATAATACAAATTTTTAAAAAAGACTTGGGTCAAGTGTTCAGCCCAGAGACCACACAATCTGCCAGGAAACAATCTTTGCACCTGGATTCTGTGGTGCTTTGTGCCTCATGGTAGAAGCTGTAGTCCCTGCCCCATTCTGCACTGGAAAGAGGTAAGCAGCTATTGAAGCAGTAAATGGGACAGAGTTCAACCAAGTAGTGACAATCTTCCAGAGCCAAATAATCGTTGATAAGAATTTACCAGTAGGCCATCGCCGAAGAACAGAAAGGAAGGAAATAAGAAGGAGATGTGAAAACTGAAAAGCAGCATGTGAAACAGGATATGGGGCTTTAACAAGGGACATTTAAAAAATATTTTATTTATTTATTTATAAGAGACAGAGACAAAGGCAGAGGGAGAGGGAGGCTCACTGCAGGGAGCTCAAGGTGGGACTCGATCCCAGGACCCTGGGATCATGATCTGAGCCAAAGACAGACACTCAACCTCTGAGCCACCCAGGCACCCAATGAGGGGCATTTTTAAGGGAATTGTTACAGGAAATGGAAAATGTAGATGGTCAAAGATTCTCTCAACAATACCGGTGGATTGCTTTCTGTTGGCTTTTCTCGAGTACAATTTTTGCTGATGGAAGGGCAGCTCAGATGTTTTCTCCCCTGTCCACTGCATTCAAACATGTCTATAGTCATTTGGCCTCCAAGTCCTGCTGATAATGTCCTGAATATCACTGAAATTCATTCCCAAAGCATGAAAACATTCTCAGTTCTGTGATCGAATGTTCTTAGGCAATGATAATAAAAGGCAAATTTTTATAGAAAGTTTCACTTGCTTGAATCCTAAAGTAATTTCACACAGACACACACACACACAGACAGACAGACACACAAACCCTCAAGAAGCATAATATACCAGGTAGCAGTCTCTGATAAGCTAAGAAGAACATTATAGTAGAATTGTGTGTTTCTGGAATGAGTGGTGGAACACGGTTAATTAGAAACCAAAGTTACCTACGGCCTCTTAGCTTTCCCAGGAGACAAGGCTTTGTGTGGGGGACTAGGGTGGGAGCCATGGAGGAGTCACAGGTGGCGCCACCCTCCAGGAGCTTACAGTCATTGATGCACAGAGATGCAGGGATTGCACTTACCTTGCTCGAAGCAGGCATAGGAAAGGGTGCCAGCCCAGGAGAGGGCGTCAGGGAGGTCTGGCTTGCTCAAACCCTGCAGATCCTGAAAGGAGACCTGTGTTTGGGGTGTGCCTTTGGCCAGTTCCTAAGAGCTAAGCTCTGAGCCTTGGACTCCTGGGTACTCCCTTATGTACCTCAGACAGTACTGAACCCTCCAAATTCTCATTCTTTCCTCATAAATGATTAGCCGAGTTGCTTGTACCCACTGTGATCAACTGGAGCAAGACGTTCACCAAATTCCATTAAGCTGGGCTCCCTGCATGGAGTCTCCTTCTCCCTCTGCCTGTGTCTCTGCCTCTTTCTCTCTGTGTCTCTCATGAATAAATAAATAAAATCTTTAAAAAGAATTCCATTAGGCTTCTGTCCTTTCTCTAGGCCCCAGAACATTACCCATCCGCAGCCTGATCCAGTCTACAGCCCTCCTTAAGAAGCCCCTCCTGAGGGGGCACCTGGGTGGCACAGTAGGTTAAGCAACTGGCTCTGGGTTTCAGCTCAAGTCGTTGTCTCATGGTCATCATTTCAGGGTCATGATTTCAGGGTCTTCAAATTGATCCCCGGGTCAGGCTCTGCACTGAGTGCAGAGTCGGCTTAAGACTCTCACTCCTCTGCATGTGGTTGTCCAATTTTCCCAGCACCATTTATTGAAGAGACTGTCTTTCTTCCAGTGGATAGTCTTTCTTCCTTTATCGAATATTAGGTGGCCATAAAGTTGAGGGTCCACTTCTGGGTTCTCTATTCTGTTCCATTGATCTATGTGTCTGTTTTTGTGCCAGTACCACACTGTCTTGATGAACACAGCTCTGTAGTACAACCTGAAATCTGGCATTGTGATGCCCCCAGATATGGTTTTCTTTTTTAAAATTCCCCTGGCTATTCGGGGTCTTTACTGATTCCACACAAATCTTAAAATAATTTGTTCTAAGTCTCTGAAGAAAGTCCATGGTAATTTGATAGGGATTGCATTAAACGTGTACATTGCCCTGGGTAACATTGACATTTTCACAATATTAATTCTTCCAATCCATGAGCATGGAATATTTTTCCATCTCTTTGTGTCTTCCTCAATTTCTTTCAGAAGTGTTCTATAGTTTTTAGGGTATAGATCCTTTACCTCTTTGGTTAGGTTTATTCCTAGGTATCTTATGCTTTTGGGTGCAATTGGAAATGGGATTGACTCCTTAATTTCTCTTTCTTCAGTCTCATTGTTAGTGTATAGAAATGCCACTGACTTCTGGGCATTGATTTTGTATCCTGCCACACTGCCAAATTGCTGTATGAGTTCTAGCAATCTTGGGGTGGAGTCCTTTGGGTTTTCTATGTTGAATATCATGTCATCGGCGAAGAGGGAGAGTTTGACTTCTTTGCCAATTTGAATGCCTTTTATGTCTTTCTGTTGTCTGATTGCTGAGGCTAATTATGAAATGGGCAAAAGACTTGAACAGAAATCTCATAGAGGAAGACATAGACATGGCCAACAAGCACATGAGAAAATGCTCCGCATCACTTGCCATCAGGGAAATACAAATCAAAACCACAATGAGATCCCACCTCACACCAGTGAGAATGGGGAAAATTAACAAGACAGGAAATGACAAATGTTGGAGAGGATGTGGAGAAAAGGGAACCCTCTTACACTGTTGGTGGGAATGTGAACTGGTGCGGCCACTCTGGAAAACTGTGTCGAGGTTCCTCAAAGAGTTAAAAATAGACCTGCCCTATGACCCAGCAATTGCAGTTCTGGGGATTTACCCCAAAGATACAGATGCAATGAAACGCCAGGACACCTGCACCCCGATGTTTCTAGCAGCCATGTCCACAATAGCCAAACTGTGGAAGGAGCCTCGGTGTCGATCGAAAGATGAATGGATAAAGCAGATGTGGTTTATGTATACAATGGAATATTCCTCAGCCATTAGAAACGACAAATAACCACGATTTGCTTCGACATGGATGGAACTGGAGGGTATTATGCTGAGTGAAGTAAGTCAATTGGAGAAGGACAAACATTATATGTTCTCATTCATTTAGGGAATATAAATAATAGTGAAAGGGAATAGAAGGGAAGGGAGAAGAAATGGGTAGGAAATACCAGAAAGGGAGACAGAACATGAGAGACTCCTAACTCTGGGAAATGAACTAGGGGTGGTGGAAGGGGAGGAGGACGGGGGGTGGGGGTGAATGGGTGCCGGGCACTGAGGGGGGCACTTGACGGGTTGAGCACTGGGTGTTATTCTGTATGTTGGCAAATTGAACACCAATAAAAAATAAATTTATTATTAAAAAAAAAGACTCAAAAAAAAAAGACTCCCTCTGCCCCTCCCTCCATCCCTCCCTCCCTCTCAATCTCTCTCTTTCTCTCTCTCTCTAAAATAAATAGATCTTAAAAGAAAAAAAAGAAGCCCCTCCTGAGAACAGGTTGAGCTCAGGATACAGGGGGCTTTCCCACCACGCCACCTCCACCAACGTGACTGGTCCATCCCACTGGTCCATCCCACCCACACCTGGCTCTTTCATGTTTACTCTCACTGTAAAAGAAAACCCCTTTTCCCTTTGCCCTTAGATGCTGACAGGTCTCCCATTGGGAGCACTCTCACTGTTACCATAACCCCTGTGACCCATTGCAACAGCCCCTTTCTCCTTGTTATTATAAGCCTTTCAAATAAAGTCTCTCCTTGCCAATGTCCAGAGTTTATTTTTATTTGATATTACCCTCTGACTGACTGGACAATCCTTTGCATAAGCATATTTATGCCTTCTTATTAGTGAATCGTATAAAGTGCTCAGAAGTCTCAGTGCCTTATTTGCACAAATTCTAGTAATTTATTTCCTGAATTCAAAGAGCACTGATCCATTTACCTCTAAGCCTGATAACCTTACGTCTAGTTTACTTGAGTCTAGGTTAGTTTATCCCCAAGCCTTGTTTTCCTCATGCTTCTTTCTCCCATCCCCCAGATGTGCTGTAGAGGCCACAGCCCATGGGCCTTGGAAAGTGGGAGGGGAATCCCAGATTCCTACTGGGATTCCCTAGACTAGAGTCTGCAGGCTCCTCTTCCTTAACCAGAACACCTGGTCAAGCCTCTGCCTCTGCCCCTTCAGTGCATTATTTATGCCAGCAGCCCCTAACCAATGTCTCACCCAGGGGATGTTTGGCAATAGGTTGGGAGACATTTTTTATTGTCATAACAGGAGGAAGTGGTTACTGTCATCTAGTGGATAAGAGCCATGGGTGCTGCTGAACATTCTAGAAGGCATAGTACAACCTCTTACAACAAAAATTATTTACCCCAAATGTCAATAGTGCCAAGGTTGAGAAATGCTAATTTACATGAATATCACTGATGCTAATTAGTCAAAGAATATCAGCTTATTTGAAAGTCAAAAGTGTCACAGTAAAACTTGTCAAAAGGATAATCTACCTTCATCCAATCACACTGTGGCTCTTGTTTTCTATGAGGCACTTACAACTTTTGGAGAAAAAAGGATCAAGAATTCAGCAACAAAAATTTATTGATTGATTAGTTTGCAACAGTAGGTACAACACGTATAACTTTATCACAGGGTTACAATTCAGTTTTTGTGCTTTGTAGGATAGGTAAACATTCATTCGAGCACAACAAGAGTCTACACACAATATTCTGGGATTGTTTAAAAAATAAATATATCCTTTTCCATTTAGTAGCACAAAGAACTTTCAGTTTGAGATAATGGATACATTTCAAAATTTGACACTTAGTTAATGTGACAAATTAAACATAGATCCTAAATTTGGACTATTAATATAATAAATGTCTAATGAGTACTGGGAGGATTCCTTGGTGTGTGGTGAAGAGGGAGGTATGGCTTACAAAGAAGCTTTCTTGACATTTCAAGATGTGGATGACACATAAGGCCAACATTGATGGCATGGGGCCTTGTTCACATTTAAAATTACTTTGCAGTTTTTAAAAATAGAGTAAAAGCATGGTATTTCAGGAAATCTTTAATAAACTCCTTCTTTGGTCAAGAAAATAAAAGCCAAGCGTACCTCACTTAGTTTAAGGGAGAGCAGTTAGATACTTCTATTTTTTTCAGAAGAGTAAATCTCTGTTATTAAAATACTTAAGTGTGATAAGGTTTTATTCTTCCCAAATTAAATGCCAATATCTTTGAATCAGGAAGAGTGTATGATCCTAGTGGGTTATGTCAAATCCTGCATCCATCATTATAAATGTCACCCAGGGAGCAGGTTTGTCATCCCAGTGCCAACCCATTTATAATAAAAGCACTGAGCTCAAGTGTCAAGGTATAACTTAAGACAACAATCCCCTCATGTGTTATGAACCTCTAAGATAACTCAATATATTATTTAAGATAATAATCTCTTCATAATTTACAATAAAAATAAAATGAAAGTTTATATTTTATATAATTTAATACACAAGCAGATTTTATCTCAAAAGACTTTTTTTTTCGTAAGAAAGTTTTTTCTCATGGTCAGAAGTCTGTGAGCATGTTACCCAAGTAATACAGAGATGGAAACAAGACAATCTTCAGTCTTTTACACCATCAACTGAAAAACAACAGTTTTCTTGCTGGCTGGGAACACAGATACTGTTGGGGAGCTGTGGAGTATTTATCAGTGAGTTACAGTGAATAAATGAAATCACCTCAGTAGACAACAACAATAATACTCTTGTACTTCTGTTAATATCCACTGATATTGGTCTGATGGTGAAAATCCTTTGTATCAAAATTCTGGAAACTTCTCGCCCATATCTTAAGTATTGACCTGGGCTGACAGCCCCTTCATCAGCTCAAAAGAGTAAAATAATGGTTACATCATAGTTTACAAAATTATTTTGACTAGTGACTTTGCTTCTAGTTGCACATAATTGGAGACATTACATAACATCTTGTATTATTAAAAATATTTAAGAGCAGCTTTCCTGAATTTTGAGCCTAGTTGTAAGCTTTTAGTTTAGGGCCCATTAAAATTTCTCTTTTTCCAGCCATTCTAATACAAGCTCTTTTGAACTCATTCATAGGTTGTATGGATTTGTACAGACCTATTTTTGCTTTTCCTCAGATTTATTCCATGTGCAGTAGACTTGAAACGGCAGATTTTTTATAGCTCTGCTAATGTGATGGGATGTTTGAGAAAGTTGAGAGTATTTAGAACAAACCACTGTAATCTAAGCTGGAATAAAGGAAAGGAATACTCTAAGGACATGGCTGCCTTATCCCAGTTCCAAGAGCCAGTCAAAGAGACTTGGGGTTCCCTCCTTCTGCTCCTCATGCACTTTGCAGTACTGAACAACCGCATGGAAGATATCTCCCACTTTCCAGGACTTCTGCTGAACCAGTCGCACAACATCTAGAAACTAAAATAAAGCACAGAGTTAGGACTCACACATCACAGATGAGCCTTCAAGTCATCTCATTCAATCATTCTTCCAAAGCCAACAGCTCTCTAGGCTATATTTTTAATCTCTAGTGAGAGGGGACTATTTTCCGCGACAGTCTATTTTTCTTTTAGACAAGTTCATTAGAGAGTTCTTTCAATGAACTAGAATTTTCTTCTTCAGAGCAGTTGTCATCCATTGAATGCCGGAGACTAGATGGAATTCTTCTTTCAAGAGTCTGTCTTTTATATATTTCAAGAGTTTCCTTAGATCTCTTCTCTGGATTGGACTCTCTCTGACAGGACTGTACAGCATAGCTCCTAGAACCTTCTACCTGTCTCCAAATAGTCTCTCATTGGATGTATACATTTATGCTAAATAAATCAAGTGCTAAACTTTTGGGTATGGTCACTTACTGGCTCCTCCCTCCATCTTGAAAAATCCTCTCCCCCCATCACATCTCAAGAGACATTGGCTTTCCATTGCAAAAGGAAAAGGAAAGATTGAAAAAATACCCTAGATTTGTCACCCCATTATTGGTAGCAGCTTCAATTGGCCACAACTTAGAGACAATATTTTTGGCGTCAGGTGAATTGTGACCTGAAGTGTTGGAAGGTGGGAAATCATTGTAGATCATTCCTTTCATGCCACTCTGGGATGAAGCCCAGGGTGAAGGCCTCTCAACATCCTCAGGCAGATACTTTTTTTAAAAAAAAAGGACAATTATTAAGAGCCAAAACCTGTAGGAAATACACTTGCGCAGGTAATCTCATCCAATTCTGTCATCAACTCAGTGAAGCAGGCATTTACAGATGAAAACTGAGGTCTTGAGAGATGAACACATGATCATGATATTTAGGATGATGTAAAAAAAAAGAGAGAGAGACAGATAGGAGGCCAATGGCAACTATGTTATAGACCATAATCCCCCAGGGAAGGACAATATCTAAGTCGTATCTTACTATCTTTTCCTGTACTTGATAGGTGTCCAATAAATGTTTGCTGAGTGAAAGAAGAACAAATGACCAAATGGGAGTCAAATACATTCAAAATGACCAAGAAGATGAGCTGAAATATGGAATGGCATCCAGAATCATTAGTGGGGGGGGGGGGGACCCTCATCTAAGTATTCATTTTAAAGTTGTATGTAATGTATTTACACATATATAATTTTAAGATAAACATGCATATCTTGAGGTTGTTTAATCAATACTTTTCCGTTGAGAGGATGCTCCACAAAAATGGCTGCAGGCTGTGGCTCTAGGCAAAGGCTGAAAAGAGCCTAGATTGGGGCAATGGGAGTGTGCCAGAAGCAGAGTAAAAGCTCATTGTGGGCCATGTGTCTCATTGCCCTTTGACTGACAATGGCATGTGTGTTGTGGAATAGGATAGCCAGGACCTCTACTGTTCACTAGAGCAGCAGTGGAAGGTTAGCTCCATTCAGTTCCCTTGGTCTCTGTGGTAACATTTCAGACACTACTTGTCATTTGGGTTGCACTTGTTGCTCTCCTTGCAACTTCTGTCTATTTTCCTGTCTGTCAGATTCCTGAAATTTTAGAGAGCTTAATCTGTTAGGTTAAGACTGCTTAAAATGCAAATACCCTCAGATAAGGGAACATTCCTAGCAGCTATTAGTAATGAATGGAGATGCATAAAAATAACTTTGTGAGCTGTCACTTATATCTTGGTGTGTATGAATGAATCCAAGGCATACTTCCTGTTGGATGAACAGTAAAAACATGAAGCATCAGAGAAAAAGAGAGAAAGGCTAGGGTGTCTTTGCATGATTTGACAAATCAGACTTTTCCAGCTCTTACTGGAAGTGTAGAAAGTAGGTGTTACTAGGGGAGAAAGCTTGAACTTCAAGTTTCTGAGGTCTCATTGTGAGAGGCTCATAGGTTGGTGACTTCTCTTCAAGATTTCCCTCAAGTGTCACCAATGGCTTTAGGCCAGACCCATCCCTTAAGGGTGTCTCTTCTCCCTCAACATGTCTTATAAAGATGCAGTCACCATAAAATATACAGAAATATAAAATTACCCTCAGATCCTTTTTTTTCTTTCTATAAAGTCTGGCTCACTGGGCTACCATTTTGTTCTCAACTTTTATCCCTGAGTCATTTTTCTAATTGACCATCAAAGCTCTGGGCCAGATGTCAATATTTGCTTAGCCCTTCCTAGAAGGCTCTAAGCCTCAGACCTTTTTGGAAGCTCAATTACAAAGCTTCTTTCCAACTATTTAAGACTTGCTGAAGGTGGGTCTCCCACTGTGTTGACAACCACAGGATGATGTTGACTGACCCAACGTGGTCAAAATTCCCCACCAGCTAGCCACTCTGCCAGTAGTTTGTGGAATAGTCACAGGCTGGAATCTGTCTCATGATTTCTAAATCCAGTGTGATATCCCAATAAAGCAGCTTTTAAAAATGATCTGGCCCCACTAAATATAGCCTATTCTGTGGCTGTGATGACTTAATCTCAGACATGAAGACCTTGAAACATCTGTAGGTCTGATGAGCAAGAAGGTCTTACACTTTCTTTTCTTCCTTGACTGAAAGAAATTTCTAAATAAAAATGCAGCTAAGATTGTGAAGAAGCCAGGAAAGGACATTCCCAGCTTGTTACTTTATAGCCCTGAAAACCACATTCAATTTAGCAGCTGGCCTTAGATTTTCATTGTGTCTGTCCATGTTTTTGCTCTCGTAATTTTATAATCAGCTTTAGTATGGCAGGGACCTGAGTTTTTCATTCCAATGCACTGAAAAACAAAAACCAAATATTTTCACTTCCTGCCATTTCACAATCAATAACAATTAAGTTCTCTTCCTATAGATCACGGTTGGCATTTCCTTGAGCAAATATTTTGTCTTAGGAAACTAGAAGGATTTACATGCTGTGATGGTATATCATTGACAGACCCATTTGAAGAAGAGTGTTACCTGGTAGAGGACTTTTATATTCTCAGGCACATTTACTAAATTAGATCAGTTGTTCACAAAATCCAATGGTAGGATCTCTGGGAGTTGTTGTAAGCTGTGATATTTTTAAAAAAAAACACTCAATTTGGATTTCTGAAAGTAACTACCTTCTTTTGCTCCAAGGCAGCATTCCATTTTATTAAGCACAAGTGAGTTGGTTTTTACATTGTCCCTGCAATTCTAGCCTGTAGAGCTGTGATTATCAGCATTGCCTGTACCCTGGAACCACCAGAGACCTTTAGAAAACTCCAATGCCTGAGCTTCATACCAAAAGGAGATTCTGATTTAATTGGCCAGAGCATCTGGGTCCATAAATCTCCCCAGGCGATTCTAGCACACACTGAGTTTGAGAACCTTGACTAAATTTAGGGTTCGATTCAAGACAATTTCTTATGTTTATAAATGGACACATTTAGTATCTGTTTTGCACTTAATGTTGGTGTTCTCCACCAAATTCAGATATTGAAACCCTAAACCCCAATGTAATGGTGCTGGGAGGTGAGGCCTTTGGGTGATAATTAGGTTTACTTGAGGTCATGTGGATGGGGCTCCCGTGGTAAGATTTATGCCCTTATTTAAAAAAAAAAAAAAAAAAGAAGAGACACCAGAGCTCTCTCTTTCTACCATAGGAGGCCAGAGGGAGGGAGAGGGCCCTCACCAGGAATGAAATCTGCTGGCACCTCGATCCTGGACTTCACAGCTTCCAGAACTGTAAGCAATAGATGTCTTGAATAAGCCACTCTATGGTATTTTGTTAAGGGAGTCTGAGTTAAGGCAGTATATAATTCTTCCTTATTTTTCCTTCCTTGCCTTCTCTTATTGTCTTTCCACCACTTTGCATGTAGAGTGGAATGAGAAATTAAAGGTGAGGTCATGTCTCTTCTGACTCTCACTTTCCTGGGAAGGTATCTGTACACCTGTTTTCTCTTTTCCTTCTTTGCATTCTTTGCATTGCCTCCAAGAAAAAGGACTAATTCTCACATGCATAAAGATGAGAAAGGCACTGATATACGGTGAAGCTAGTCATCAGGCCATTCTGGCTCACAGAAGCATGTTATATTTAGAAAAAGAGCTAGAGGGTAATGATACTTTGTATCCAAAAGGCAGAATAATTGGCTGATTTATGTCATTTTTAAAAAATCAATTACCTTCATGATTTTTTACGCCTTGAATTAAATTAAAATTTTAAAAAATTCTTATTTAAATTTAATTTAGTTAACATATACTGCATTATTAGTTTCAGGAGTAGAATTTAGCTATTCATCAGTTGCACAGAGTGTCAGACACTGTGAATGATGTTTACAAACTGTTTTAGAACATCAGGCATTAAGACTCAGCAATCTTTGCCCTGGAATTTAGGATACTTAAAGTCCACCTCAAATTCAGACACTCCTTCAGGGTATTTCTTATAAGAGGGAGCCTCAAACTTTAGTACTCATCAAAATGACTTCGCTTGAGGGAAGTTGTTAAAAAATGTATATTTCTGGGCAGCAGTGAATGTGATGGGGCTAAGGAAGTGCGTAGACATATGAATTGTAAATAACTGTCCCAGGTAATTCTGTGCATTTGGCTCATAATTGAGGTGTGGGAAATCTTATTTCCAATGTGTTTGTCATCTCCTGTTTCTAAAATAAATTTCCATCATATTTCAAGATTTTGCTTTACAATCTGAGCCTCTCCTGATTTACATTCACCTTACTCTGGGTCCCTCCTGACTAGATGGGACATCCCATGGGTCAGAAATTTTGTCTCTTTTGTTCCCTATATTCCCAGAGTCTAGAACAGTGCCTGATGCATTGTTCATGCTCAATAAATATTTGATGAATATTCTGAGTGTATGACTTTCAAGTGGGCATAGTATTTTAATGAGTAGAAAAAAAATGCCATGAAAGAGAAAGCTGAAAAATGAAAGTGTCAGTTTACCAGAAAAAAGTGACACTACCCTGGGCCCCCCAAATATCTGGAATTTGCCTTTGGAGTTGAAATGGGGCTGAAATGCATTATAAGGTGACTTTAATTAAGTGCCCTTCAACTCCAAGGTCGATGGTGGGAAAGATGAGCTGCGTCAGTATTTACTCATGATACCCTCTCCTCTTTAGCTCATGCCTGTACTGTCAAAAGGCAGGGGGGTCGATGACTGGGGAACACCCTTGTGGGAAAATTGTTAACTACATTAATTTATTGAAAAAATTCTGAATGCACACAAATGGAGACTCAGCACATAGATCTGTGAGTAATGTTTAATACTCTAAGTGATGGTGAGAAATGGGATTTCTGAACCTAACAGAGATGTTTCTTTTAGTCCTCTCCACACTGAGGAGGAGCATGAGAGACCCTGCTGCCCTTGTGTGACAAAGCCTTATGGAAGACCACAATCTCTCCTCCACACTACTTGAAAAAAACTAACCAATTACTAAAACAACCAGAATGAGGCTTCCAAATGCAGTATTGATAAAAGAAAGGATGTCAAATTTTTGCTTATGGGTTTGCTTTTTCTGACCAGTTCTCTTTGAGACAATAAGTACTGACATTTGTGAACAAGCCACTCTGTGCAGAGACCTTCATTGACTGAAAAAAAAATTAGGATGTTTTGTTCCTAAAGTTACATTACTTAGAAATAAACTCCTTGACCTGATGCTAAATTGAATGAGTAAAACACTACTTCATGTTTTTCTTGATAACATTAGTGGAGCGTTTATTTTCTCAGAGAAAAACAGCTGTAAGTAAGGATAGTCATCCCCTCCAAGAACTGAAAATTAGGGAGGATAAATAAACATCAAGTCAGGGCCTGATTTCCCTAATCAAGTTAATAATCAGGTTAGTGACACACTCTTTGTCCTTTCACATAATGAGGACTTAGGAGACATATATTCTCATAGAGTACTACGTTGTTTCTTCAAAATGGTGGATTTTATAAAAATCTACTTCATTAAGAGACCATCCACAAATGTACCAAGTGATGTTCTGGAGATAAAGTTGGAAACCAGCCTTTCACTTTTCCATGAATCTGAGGATGCACTTTGCCTGAGAATGTTCTTGTTCTCCTCCCCATGGCAGGGAGTCTTTAGGATTGTGTATGGAAGAAGGAGGGACCCAATGTGGAGTGCTCTCTCACTCCACTTTTTGCACTAGACAGCCTGGGTGGTAAGGTGGAAGGAGAATTTATCAAATAGTGAACCACTCATTACCTTGCCAACAAAGGTATGACAGTACAGGATAGTATCTAGATGCAGATGCCATGGAATGGTAGGAAATACTAGACATGAAGAGAAATATAAATTGCCTGTTGGCGAGAGAGGCTGATGTGAGAGAAGGCAGTATCAATTAGGTCTCCTCAGTTTTTTTCCAGAAGCTAATGCCATTGGCTGGTGACACAGAAATGGGGAAGCTGTTCTAATTACCATGTGCATGGGCAAGATGGCAAAGGATCTTTCAGGCTGCTAGATTTTGACAATGAGAATTAAAATGCAAGTACATATTTAAAAAAATCCAGATCATAATTTCAAGGCAATTTAACCTGAGAGAGACACTATTGAGACGTTTCTAGGACTGGGCTCAGCCGTCACTAACTGGGGACTCTCTCAAGGGCCAGCCTGAGTCCTGACTTGCTCATTAAAAAGGGATAATAACAGCCATTGGCTCTTCTCATAGGATTGCTGAGAAACAAGTGTAATGCATATGGGGATGTACTTTGTGACAATAAGACATTAAAAAGTGCACTGTGGCAGTGATAGGCAGGATCCTAAAACAGTTTCCATGATTTCCGTCCTGATCTTCAGTACCATGAATAGGATGAGAAAATTATGCCTTTACTATGTTATTGTACATGGCAAAAGGGATTCTTAGTTAATACTGAATTAGTCAAAATGGAGACTACCTGGTAAAACTGATCTAATTGCATGAACCTTTTAAAAACAGAGTTTTCTCTGGTTGGTGTCAAGAAGAAATAAGAGAGACTGATTGCATGAGAACATGAAGGGGTCCGTGTGACAAGGAATACTGGAAGTTTCTAGAAGTGGAAGAGCAAAGAAACAGGGCATCAGTCCTACAACCACAACAGACTGAATTAGGACAACAACCTGAATAAATTTGGAAGATTGTTTCCTCCTCACCCCAACCCAGTCTCTGATGAGTGCCCAGCCAGGCTGCTATCTTGATTTCTGCCTTACAAGTCCCTAAGCAGAGAGCAAAGTAGAGTTCGCCGAACTTCTGGCAACAGAGTTAGGTGGTATTGTTTTGACCTAGTAAATTTGTGGCAGTTGGTTACACAGCAATAGGAAACTCATATTATAGCATTATTATTAATTTGAATGTTTTCAGAAGGAGCATACTTTTAAATTATGGGAAATTGAGCTTGAAGACATTGGCAGATGGATTTGTGCTTTAATCTTAATTGAGATTCTACAACAGTTAGTGGGCAGCTTTAGAGCTAGGGAGTTAGAGTGATAGTTGCTATTAATTTAGATGTTGGCAAAGGCTCTATTCTCCGACTTTATATTTCTAGTAGGTGGAGAGTGATGACAAGGAAGTCTGTCCAACGCCAACCTGTTCAATAGACACATGCCTCTCGTTGACACCATGCCACAGTGTGTTTTAAACAGAAGTATGGCCTCACTTTAGTTTCTTGTATATTTAGTTTCTTTTTATTTAAATGGGTGCTATGAAGAAATTGGTTCCAGAGCAAAGAAACACCATGACAGAAACAAACAAAACACTAGACTCTGAAAAAGTTCCCATCTCTTCACTTCACTTTCTCTAGCTGAGAAAACTGAGGCCAAAGAAACAGTTATCATGATTATATATACGTGGGTGGAAGGTTTCAAAAATCTAGTCACAATTTTAAGGTGAAAAGAACAAAGGGTTCAAATTTAAATGACTTGACTGGGGATTTATCCAGTTTCCAGCAGTGATAAGAAGCACAACAATTCATCCACATCCAAGTACAGGACGGGGGTACCTTTTCGATTCTGTTTTCCTGAGATTTCTTAAAGTAGATGGTGGGGATCCCAAGTTCAGAGGCTGCTATCCACTGCAGAGTGGCTCGAAGCTCAGCATCAGGACATTCTGGCTCCAGGTCAAAGTTGATCACCAGCAGGCTCCCCTGGGAGCTGGCTACTCCCATTGGCGCTCCAGAGGCACCTTCTGAACAGAGACACAGCCCAAACTTACCAAGCTTTCCACAGGGAGATGACAGGCAAATTGTGTGTCAAACTTATGGGAACATGGCTTACCCTCTACGTTTTCTGACTGTCCTTTAAGAATCTCCTTTTCTTCCACCAACTCACTTTGGGAGAAAACAACAATATATGGTTGGTAATGTTTAGGAAGAGTAAGTTGTAAATGGATGATGAGGCAATGGGTCTTATTGATCTAAAAGCTTCTGAAATTTGTTCTAGATTTATTGTTTTCATAGAGGGAAGTAACACTGGGGAAATACCAATGTGGCCATTACATTGGATTATTGAGTCTGCAATAAATAGCTCTGGCCCTTAAAAAAGGCCAGATAACCTACAGATTTTTCAGTTGGGATAACTGGTGTGGGAGACTCTAAGCAATGCATCTTTCTCTTCTCCTCACCTTCTCTTCCATAAACCTTCACTGGTTTGAACAATCAGGGAAATACCATGTAGGCAACTAGATCTGATCTGGGGACTTATACTTCTCTATTTGACTTGTCATTTAAAGGACTATATGTTTCCACCCTAACACAATGATTTTTTTCCCCTCTACTATGACAGCAACAAAGCTGCCTTTTAGTCTACGAAAATATTTTTCTAATGTTTGTGGTTCTTTGATCTGAAAAAAGGGACAGAACAACCAATGAATGGCAGAACTTAAATTGCACAACAAAATACTTCAGTTAAAATGGAAATTTTTCTTTTTTTATCAGGAGGATGGAATAGGCTGGAAGTGATGAAGAAGTAGAGACATGAGGGACACCTGGGTGGCTCAGGGGTTGAGCATCTGCCTTCAGCTCAGGGCATGATCCCGGGGTCCTGGGATCGAGTCCTGCATCATCCCCATGAGGAGCCTGCTTCTCCCTCTGTCTATGTATCTGCCTCCCTCTGTGTGTCTCTCCTGAATGAATAAATAAATGAAATCTTTAAAAAAGAAGAGAGAACTAGAGACATAACTGAAGGATTTTATGAGATACAACCACGTTCAGTGTTTGAGGTGTTTTCATACAGTGAGTACTTGTTCGGAAGCCTTGGTACAATGGCAGGACTCAGTAAACGCTTCCAAAATGAGAGCACGTGTCCCAACAGCTGAAAGGAGGTGGCCATCTTGGGAAGCCCAAGGTTGTCCTATACTTTCGTACGGGCTGGAAATTAGAATACAGGAGCTCTTAAAAATGCCTATTTTTATATAGAGTATTCTTCCTTATATTCTGTTACTGCAAAAGTTTACTGGCTATAAATTCCACTGTATTGCTGATGTTGAGAGGGAGCGTAGTTGAATCAGAGAATGGCCAGCTTCCCAAGGGTCTTGAGTCTCCCCTAGGTCTCTACAAGTGATATAAGTGAGATGACACAGGGTAGGGGCAGCTTCTGCTATCGTGGAGCTGCCGAATGGTGCTATGGGTGGTGGTCATTTTGGTTTTCCCAGAATGCATATAATCTGTGGGGTCCTAGGCTCTACCCTTGAGAAAGATGGAAAAAGGAAGATAAACCAGTGTTTCCTGAAGGAGAAAAATAAATTTACACCAAAGTAATTTTTTGCTTGTAGTTTGGTTCTACTTTTAAAATGCAAAACAAAACAAACCCAAGATCGTGTGTCTGTTCATCTCTACTTGTGAATAATGGCAGCATGGGACAACAAAGGCTGCATGGCAACCTTCAGTCACTGAGGAATACTCTTGCAGGCAGGATAGCTGATTACATAGTGAAGCAAAAATGACTTAGCTATAGAGACTAGCTGAGGAAGGAGATGAGGGAGCAACACTGGTCTTATATTTCATTTTTATCTTTCGAGATTTCAGAAAACTCCCAACAGTAAGCTGAGTCGTAATGGCCAAAACTAGATTTCAGTTTATTTACGCTTCCAGAATAATCACAAATTATGGATGTAGCTCTGACCTCATGTTGCCCTCCTCTTCTGCACCGTATTTTGTGTTGCACACGTAGTGCTCCTCTAAATGCTATTTCTCCTTGGTCTTTGGGAAGGTCCCGAGGTTTTGGGAAGCAGAGTCACTGCGTGGCAATGACACATCCACATTGTGGGACCGTTTGGTATTAGGCACATTTACTAATGTCTACAACTAAAGGAAAAGCCATTCATATTATATTCTATTCAACAACAATCTTTGTGGGTTTGGCATGGTATGGTTTAAAAGGATTTTTGCTTCTCTTTTCTGATTATTTGGATAAACTTTTTCTGACATGATTTTATCACAGAAGGCAGATTTGAAATCCAGAAACAGTGGTGGTAGGGTAGGATTGTCCTAAGCCCTCATTCTTGCTCCAGTGACATGGAACCACGGCAGTATAGACACGATGATTCGGTGGTTGGGCACAATCTGAATGATCAGAATGGATTGCCAGATGGAATTAGAGTAGTGGTCTCACAATCACTGCATCTCAGTGGCTACTTACTTAATCATGGGAGAAGATGGCATGCTTTCCTGATAAATGTCCAGGTCCATAGTGCCAAGACTGCTAGTGGCACTACTGTTGCCATTGCTGACAAAGCAAAAGTTTACATATTAATGCCCGTCGCACCACCTGGCCACACTGCCAACACTGATGTTCCATCATTCTTTCTAAGAGGTCCTTCTTTTGGTCCCCAGAAGAATATTGTTGGGGGCGTCCTAAATTAATATTTATTGCTGGACAAATTAGAGGAAGACACAATAAAAGACATTTTTGGCTCAAGCCAATCATCATCATCATCATCATTATCATCATCATCACTGTTTTTGAATTTGTGCACTGGTGTCATACCTAGTGGGTGACAGTCAGCATGACTTTTGTCTTCCTCATTATAACTAGAGTGAGGATGTTTCTGTCAGCAGCAAGAGACTCCTTGGTATACCCACCCACGGCAACTAAGAGAATGCTGAGAATGCTGTCTGGTGGAGATACCAATATGCTCATCTGCCTACTTCTTGACTTCTGACAGAGACCAGTAGACACATGCTCTCCCTCTGCCATTCAAGGGATTTTTCTGAGGGACATTCCATAGAATATGCACCTGGCACATTATTTTCCTGTAGGACTGCAGAATTTACAAATTTGGTGGTGCCAAAGTTTTATCAGATCCTTCATCATAAAATCTTTGAGAAGCGGCACCTGATACCTTGTGTATCACGGAGAAGGAGGGCTGATGTATCACTTTCATAGGTTACACAATCAACATATGGTCTAGTTACTAGCTTGGAATTTATTTGCTGAAACATAGTAGACTTGAGCCAATTTTTAGGCTCTGTCTGTACTTGCAGGATGGAATGCCTCCAATTTCAGCAAACCCATCGAGTTTCCTCATACTCCCACTATTTCCCAGTGACATCTCTTCCAAGTCAGATTTCCAAAGGGTGATTGCTGGTGTGTCGTGCAATAGGACAGTCTTCCCTAGGGAGTACTATGAATAACAAACTGGACTCCTTCAATTTCAAATTCCTGCTTTGGGTTTCCTGTGGGGCACTGAATGTATTCACTGATTGAGATCTGATGACTCGAACATTGCACTGAAGGCAATTAACCCTATAAACTTCTGCTAAGTCTAGAGATTTAAATTCTCTTTGCTTTTTATCTTTATATTGTAAAATTTCCCACCAGTTTTGGGTATTTTAGACAAAATATTTAACACTGTGAAATTTTCCTAAGTCTAAACAGACTGAACTGCCAGATATAAGGCTGCCAAGGAGCTATTATACCAGATACATATGAATCCCATTCTCCCACTGGCCCTTCTAGAAAGTCTACAGATTTTGCCCAGTATCAAATGAGACTTGGGTTAGAAATGTGGAGATCCTTTTCATTTCCACCTCACAGAGGGGTCGTGTTTAGTTTATGTCTCTTGTTGGGCTTGGGTCATTCCAAATCTGATCTTTCGTTAATTCCTCTCTTGCTTTCCCGGAACAATACACAGGGCAGGGGAGAGAAAGGGGAGAAACAATTAGGCCAAACAACACAACACAATGTGGAAACACTTGCCTCATGTAAACCCAGCCTGAGTTGCATCTGAAATACAAATGAACCAGAGAGAAAGTATCAAACACACCAGGTGTAACAGCAGCTCTTTAAAAATCCCCAGTTGTTATCGAACACACTAGCTGGGGCTTACAGAGAAAGGACTACAGCTGACTCTTAACCTTGGCCAAGGTAAGTAAAATCACAACTGGATAGTAAGAAACCCCTTGCACAAATCACAGCAGGCAAGGACCTTAACCTAGCAGGAACTGAGGGCTCTTTTTACTCTCTTAGGGACCCTGTACAGAGAACCGTTTAGAAAGTATTTTTAGAATCTGTGTTGAGACCTGTTTCCCTGGAAAGTCAAGGAAAGATCAGGTACCTCATGGATCGCTCACTGAGCTGCAGAAAACTACTTGTGTCATCTGGATTGTCCTCCTCATTGGCGAGCTGGGACCAGCTGTCTGTGCTCTCCCCACTGCTGCCGGAAAGGTTGTGGAACTCATCGGGGGCTCTGCCTTCCGCCGAGACTTCAGCCCCTGGTACATCGCTGGCATCAAGATTGTCACTGTAGGTAGCAAGATATCATTACCAAGAGTGGAGGCCCAAGCAGAACTTTTCATGGGGCAGGGGAGGGGGGAGGACCTTGTTAGCTACTCTGTTGAACCTAAGTCTTTGCCACAGTGAACAGGATAGCCTTGGAGGCCGGTGGCATCCTTCTTTCAGGCTACCTCTTCTCCTAGTGCCCTAACCCCATTTTTGCCTTTTTAAGATTGCTAATCCATCAGTTTCCCCATATCTTCATTTTGTCTTTCTACTGACTCCCACCATTCATTTCAAAAACATGTTGAAGCACCCTGGGCTGCATACATAAGAATAAAGGAGGGGAAGTAGCATTTCTAATGAAGACACCCAGCGCATCCTCTCCAGAGATTATGAGTCATTGGTTCTGCAGGGAGACCAGGAAACCTGCATTTTAAACAACCACTCCAGGTTAATTTTAATGCAAGTGGCATGTGGACCATGCTGGAAGAAAAACACTCACCTCAGAAAAACACTCAACTCAGGGTTCTGGAGGTTACCAAGCCATACTGCCTATAAATGGCTCTGACCACATTTTGCATTTGTGGCTACCCTTTTAGACTACATCTCCCTTCGAAACCTCTGATATATATCAGCACTGCCTTCCTGGATGAGTGTGTTTTTTAGGTCAAGTCGCTCTCCAAATCATTTAACCCTTGATCTGACATGCTTTTCTCCTTGCAGCCTTTGTTTTGCTCCCTGGTCTCCCAGGACTTTCTGACTCTCTGGTCATGCCTTGCCTAGAGCCTGGTTCCCTAAGTTGTCTCAGTGCCACCATCGCCAGCTCTGATGGGCTCACTGCCCTCCTTTCCAGTCTGTCCCTAACAATTTCATCTACCTTCCTGCCTATGAAAACAGCTTCTAAATCTGAACTCCAGCCAGGGTTCCTCTTCCTGCTTCTGGGGCTCTCTTTTCAGCTGGTCTTCTGAATTTATTTAATCTCTCTCATTAACATTTTGAAATCAACATATCTTAAACAAATTCTAATTGCCCTCCCATCCTCTTCCTGTGCTTTTTATTTCCATTGACTTTTGTCTCTCTGCTCATGAAATTATATTAATTTAGGTCTTTCTAAATTGCTCAAATTTAGATTTGGAAGGAACCTCCTAGATTTCCTGTAGATTAGGGTGCAGGAGCCCAGTGAGGTTAAATGATTTGTCCAAGGTTGCAACAAGAGTTGGTACCAGACATTAGACCTCAAGTTTTGAGACTCGTGGGCATTACTCCATTAACTGTTTGGCTGGACTATATTGTATTGGCCTCCTAATAGTTGAACCCCAGCTACTTCTCTTCTTTCAATCATATGATCCAGAAATTCCATTTCTAGGAATTTATGTCCCAAAACTGAACACACTAATTTGAAAGGACATATGTGTGCCTAAGTTTATTGCAGCACTATTAACAATAGCCAAGATATGGAAACAATCTAAATGTCTATCAGTAGATGAGTGGATAAAGAATATATAATAAATATATACAATGGAATATTATTCAGCCATTAAAAACACTGCAATCCTGCTAATTGTGACAACATGGGTGGAACTGAGGGGTATGACGTTAAGTGAAATAAGTCAAACAGAGAAAGATAAATACCATATGATTTTACTTTTATGTGGAATCTAAAAACAAAACAAATGCTGGAGAATCATGTAGTGAGGTTTGCAACATAGAAGGGAAACCTCAAAGTTATGAATCTTAGAGCTCATGTAGGAGGAGCTGCTGCTGACACATTTGCCCTTTTCTTCACCAGGGAGAGAGAGAAAGCAGAGAGACAGGCTGGTGGAGAGAGAGAGAGAAAGAGAGAGAGGGAGGGAGGAAGAGAGGCAGAGATAGATCACTTAAAACAAATCCAAATGTTCTCTGCAGGGGGAGGGAATGGTCTCTACTTCACTTGGATTGTTAACAAATAGCTCCAGAAATGTAAATCTCTGTATCTCTCTAAAAGTATCTTTAGGGTTAGCATTCAATCATCCTTCGAACCAGGTGCCAATACTCTGTTCAGAAAGCCAAATGTACAGAAATGTGAACATATTCACACAGCCTTTCTCCTGATACTACCGACAGGGTCATCAAAAATTAATAGTATAAGAGAAAAGGACATTAATAACTGCGAGCAAGGAGCAAGAGTGTATCTCTCGGGTGACAACGAAAAATGCAATAGTCTGATGTAGTGGATACTAGAATGCTTTTCTTGGCCATTGCACACTGACTGCAGAGAATATTGGCCGCTGCCAGTGCACACTGGGAATTACCAGCAGGCAGAGAATAGCCTGGCCCAGGTTGTATCCTCTCTCATTGAGCATCCCAACAACCAGCTGAGACAAAGACAAAAGGCCAGTTCTTGTCTTACTTGGCACCAAACCTGACAGTCCATTCCCTCTTCAGGGGCTCCTGTAGGATTGCTGAGGCCTCAGTTGCAAACAAAGTTGGGGGCACCTTCTCTCCATACAATCTTGCCTTTCCTACTTCCTTACAGATGTATGCACACATATGTCTAGAGAGCACTCCCTACCAGATTATCTGCCTGAAACTCTTCCTCTAAAAGTCTGTTCCCGGAGATGCAACCCAAGGCACTCGGTCTCATTCATTCAAAGTAGTACATTGGCTGCAGAAAAGTCTAGTAATTCTCTTCAGTTTTAGGATTAGGATTAGTACCATTATCCTTTATCCAAAAATGGTTATCCTTGAAAAAAATTTTAAATGAGTTCTAATACAGAAAGTAGAGTTTCAAATGTACAAATTTTGGGGTATGATGACAAATCTCCTTTGATATGTGAACTGGTTACCCAGAAAATTTCACAAAAGCTTTGGAATCCTTGCCCAAAGACTCCTTCCCACAGCATTCCGGACAGGTACAGTTATTAAGGGGTGGCTGTTTCTAGTATGCTGTGCTACTAAAGCTTGATGAAGAAAAGGTTCTTAGTAACCTGATTTTCCTTTCTAAAATGTTGAGATTTTTCCAGGTCGAGCAGGGAGAAAATGAGTTGCAACCAAAAAGACATTAGGTGAATTTAGTTAAATTCAAATGAAAGAAAAGTTTATTGAAGATAACTGGAAACAATACACATACTCCTAAAAAAGAGATAAATAAGCCAAGTTCAGAGCACAAAAGGGAGGCTTCTAAAACCATTTGTTTTTAGAAGAAGAAATCTCCTGGACTAATTTTTTTACTAGATTAGGACCTTACACTCCTAGAAAAATTCATTCCAGGATATTTCTCACTAAAGCAGAAGTTAAATCTCAGTGATTGACATGGAACATTCGGGTTAAAAATGAGTCTGTCAGCATATTTTATTTTATCTAATTTCATGCTCTATTTACAGTAAATCTCAGATTCTGTGTCACATAACTGGGAACTCAAAATGAGTAATGATTATCTAAAACACTGGTTTTCATTTTCTTTTGAGATAAATGTATAGCTTTGCTCATTTATTTATGAATAATGCACAGATGTGTTATGCAGATTTATGTAGATGGCCTTTTTCCACTTCTGATTTCATAGTTCACATGCAGAGCTTTAGAGGACCATTTTTGATATGCCATCAAATCAATTGTAGAATTTCTGAGTTAGCAGGGACTTCAGAAATCATCTAGCCTAATGTTCCCCTACCTTAATTTACTAGCAGACTGCTGTCATGATTTTTGCCACACCTGCATTCCCCTTGTATTATATCAGTAATAAAAATTGTAAAAATCAGTTAAGGTAGCCTAAATGTTTATTTTAAAAAGAAATTTTGAGTCATCACTGTAAATGGAAAATGGAAATCATTTGCCATAGGTAGACAGCAATAATAAAAAAAATATAGAAGTACAGTTAAAAACCTTCTTTGCAATGGGTCATCCAGTTGTTTAGCTATATGAAGTTCATTAAGGGGAAATAATGACACACATACACATTCTTTAAACTTAAATTTTAGTTTGCTAACATACAGTGCAATATTGGTTTCTGGAGTAGAATTCAGTGATTCATCACTTACATACAACACTCAGTGCTCATTGCAACAAGTGGCCCCTTTAATCCCGAGCACCCATGTAAGCCCCTCTCCCATCTTCCCACCCTCCATCAACAATTTGTTCTCTGTTTTTAGAGTCTCCTATTGTTTCCCTCTCTCCTTCCCCCGCCCTGTTCTCAAATATTCACCTGTTTTGTTTCTTAAATTGAACTTATGAATGAAACTGTATGGTATTTGTCTTTCTCTGACAACTTATTTCACTTACCATAATACCCTCTTGTTCCATTTACATCATTGCAAATGGCAAGATTTCATTCTTTCTGATGGCTGAGTAATGTTCCACTGTATGTATATATATATATACATTGTATATATATACATATAAACCACATCTTTATCCATTCACCAGTTGATGGATATTTTGACTCTCTCCATTTGGCTATTGTTGATAATGTTGTTATAAATGTCGGGCTGCATGTACCCGTTGATTCTGTATTTGTGTATCCTTTGGCTAAGTACCTAGGGGGGCAATTGCTGGATCATAGTGTAGTTCTATTTTTAATGTTTTGAAGAACCTCCATACATTCTCCAGAGTGACTACACCAGTTTGCATTCCCATCAACAGTGCGAGAGGGTTCCCCTTTCTCTGCATCCTCACCTGTTGTTTCTTATGTTGTTAATTTTAGCCATTCTGACAGGTGTGAGGTGATATCTCATCATGGATTTGATTTGTATTTCCCCGATGATGAGTGATGTTGAGCACCTTTTCATGGATCTGTTAGCCATCTGTGTGCCTTCTTTGGGACAGTGTCTATTCTTGCCTCCTGCCCATTTCTTAACTGGATTACTTGTTTTTTTGGGGGGAGGTGTTGAATTTGATAGGTTCTTTGTAGATTTCATATACCAACACTTTATCAGATATGTAATTTGTAAATATCTTCTCCCATTCTATAGGCTGCCTTTGAGCTTTGTTGATTGTTTCCTTTGCTGTGCAGAAGTTTTTATCTTCGTGAGGTCCCAATGGTTCATTTTT